TTTATGTCTCCCTTTTCATTTCTGATTTTGTTAATTTGGATGTTCTCTCTTTGGCTTTTGGTTAGTTTGGATAAGAGCTTGTCTATCTTGTTGATTTTCTCAAGGAACCAACTTTTTCTTTCATTGATTCTTTGTATTGTTCTCTTTGTTTCTATTTTATTGATTTCAGTCTTCAATTTGATTACTTCCTGGTGTCTAGTCATCCTGGGTGAGTTTGCTTCTTTTTGTTTTAGAGCTTTCATGTGTGCTGTTAAATCACTAGTATGAGAATTCTCCAACTTCTTTATGTGGGCATTTAGTGCTATGAATTTTCCTCTTAGCACTGCTTTCATAATGTCCCATAAGTTTGGGTATGTTGTACTTTCATTTTCATTGAATTCTAGGAAGTCTTTAATTTCTTTGTTTCTTCCTTGACTCATTGGTGATTCGGTTGAGCATTATTCAGTTTCTATGAGACTGTAGGCTTTCTGTAATTTTTGTTGTTGAAATCTAACTTTAAGCCATGGTAGTCTGGTAAAATATAGGAGATTATTCCAATTTTTTTGTAGCTGATGAGATTTGCTTTGTGACCAAGTATGTGGTTGATTTTAGGGGTGCTGAGAAGAAGGTATATTCTTTTGTGTTAGGGTGGAATGTTCTGTAGCTATTAAGTCCATTTGAGTCATAACATCTGTTATATTCCTTATTTCTCTATTAAGTTTCTGTCTGGCAGACCTGTCCATAATGAGAGTTGGGTATTGAAGTCTCCCACTACTAGTGTGTGGGGTTTGATGTATGAATTAAGCTTTAGTAATTTTTTTTTTTACAGATGTGGGTACCCTTGTTTTGGAGGCATAACTGTTCAGAGTTAAGACTTCATCTTGGTGGATTTTTCCTGTGATGAATATGTAATGTCCTTCCTGATCTCTTTTGATTAATTTTAGTTTGAAGTTTATTTTGTTAGATACTAGGATAGCTACACCACCTTGCTTCTTAAGTCCATTTGATTGGAAAGTCTTTTCCCAGCCTTTTACTCTGAAGTGTGTTTCTTGTAAGCAGCAGCAGGATGGATCCTGTTTTCGTATCCATCCTGTTAGCCCGTGTCTTTTTATAGGTGAATTGAATCTATTGATATTAAGGGATTATTATTGATATTAATGACCAGTGATTGTTAATCCTGTTATCTTTTGGTGGTAGTGTGTGTGTATTTTCCTTCTTTGGGATTTTCTGCTGTGGGGTTATCTATTACCTGTGTTTTTATGGGTGCATCTGACTTCCTTAGGTTGGATTTTTCCTAGTGCTTTCTGTAGTGCTTTTTGTGGATAGGTATTGTTTAAATCTGGTTTTGTCTTGGAATGCCTTGTGCATTCTGTCTATGGTGAAAGTTTTGTTGTGTATAGTAGCCTGGGCTGGCATTCATGTTCTCTTAGTGTCTGCATTATGTCTCTCCAGGACTGTGTGTAATTCTGATGGGTCTTCCTTTATAAGTCACTTGACCTTTTTCCTTTGCTGCTCTTAATATTATTTCTTTATTCTGTATGTTTAGTGGTTTGATTATTATGTGGCAATGGTCTTTTTTTGGGCAGTCTTGTGGTGATATATTGTGTCCCCCAATATATTGTGCTTACTAATAAACTTATCTGGGGTCAGAGAACAGAACAGCCACTAGATATAGAGGTCAGAAAATGGTGGCACACATGCCTTTAATCCTAGCATTCCAGAGGCAGAGATCCATTTGGATCTCTGTGAGTTCAAAGCCACACTGGAAACAGCCAGGCGTGGTAATAAGAGCCTTTAATCCCAGGGAGTGATGGCAGGAGCAGAAAGGTATATAAGGTGTGAACACCAGGAACTAGAGCTGGTTAAGCTTTTAGGCTTTTGAGCAGCAGTTCAGCTGAGATTCATTCTGGATGAGGAATCAGAGGCTTCCAGTCAGAGGAAACAGGATCAGCTGAAGAACTGGCAAGGTGAGGTAGCTGTGGCTTATTCTGTCTCTCTGATCTTTCAGAATTTACTCCCCCCACCCCAAAGTCTTCAGGGAACCATGACCACACCTAACAGTAGCTTTGAAATCTTCAAAAAGGTGACGGGATCCCACAATGATGATTCCACATGAACTATGGTAAAGCCATTAACACCATGGAAAGATTGGCTTTGGACTACAAACTGCTCAGAACAATTTCGAGATGGCTAGCTGAGATGGTCCAAATTCACGACTACTAGAGCAAGTACTTGAGACAAGCCCTGCATTTTCCCATTATGCAGAGACTGGACAAAAGATACAGCTAACTCTCTCAGGACTTGACAATTAACCCAAACATTTTCTTTTCAGGATTCCCTAAAGATGTCTTCACCCCCAGAAAGCAGGAAGTAATTTTAAGAAAATGATGTCCACATTCCCAAGAGGTGGGATGGGAGGATTTTGGTTGTTTAATTGTTATGGATATTGTCATTGTTTACAATGGTTGGTTACAAGTTGTTAATTGTTAATCGTCAGGAAAAAAACTGAACAGGGAGATTAAATTCAGAGTTTTTGTTTGAAAAAAAAAGGAAGTTGGGGTGGTAACATCTATGGTAGCCTTTGTAAGCTAAAGTTATTGAAATGATTTATACTCTAGAGCAGTTTCTAGCTCACAGCAACATTTTGTGGAAGATATACATTTCTTTTTCTTTATTTATCCTTCGTGTCTTTCATATCATGCATCTCAATCCCATTCATTTCCCCATCCTTTCATATCTGCCCCCTACCCTTGCAACCTTCCCCTCCTCAAATAAAATGAAATAAAATTTAAGAGAAAAAAAAAGGAAAAATCAATTTCATCATGGAAGCTGTAGTGTGGCACAGTGAGGCATGCAGTAAACCCTTTTATCCATAAAATGCACATTTCTATAATACCCCTGTGCCCAGACATGGACAGCCTTCTGCATGAGTGATGTCCTTGCACATGAATTACACCTGAAGAAGCTTCATGACACATCACTGTCCTCCAGTTTCCATGAATTAGGGCTCATGGTTGTGTTGAACATTCTGAGTTTTCAATTAGGTGGAAGTCGAGAACTGACACTCCGTGTCATCCTCCACATGCACACTATGGTATGTGTACCCACACTCACACACAGAGTAGTACATCTTGTACACACAAATACAAATCACACACACAGATTGAGCCTGCCTTCTGAATCTTTCTGATGTGTCTTAGCATGTGTACTATGATACTAGCTACCATCTATTAATGTAGCCAGGAAACCCCTCACTAGAAGCTGAGTTGATGGGGCTGTCCAAACCTGGACCAAATAGACTTCTTTTAAAAGTAAAGTGTGGATGTGGCTGGAGGGATGGCTCAGTGCTTAAGAGCGGTGGCTGCTCTTCTAGAAGACCTGGGTTCAATCTGCAGCACCCACCCACTTGGCAGCTCACAACTATTTATAACTTCAGTCTCAGAGGATCTTACAACCTCTTCTGGCTTTCACAGTATCACATACATATGATGAACAAACATGCATTCGAATAAAACACACACACACACACACACACACACACACACACACACACATACGATAAAAAGAAAAAGCATGTGACCTCATGTTTTGTTATAGTAACAGAAAAATGAACGGATGTACTCCCCTTTGGCACTTTGCTATTCTAGTCTTGTTGCCCCTTAAACACCACATGCTGTGTTTTATCTCATGGCCTTTGCACACTGCCCTCTGGAAAGCCTGCTCCATGGATTTTCTCACGGCTTACACCTTTTTTCACAGAGTCTCTTAGCATCCTGCCTCAGTCTTTTCCCTTGCTTTGTTCTTAATGATGCACAAATCCTGTGAAGCTTTACCATATACTTGGCTGTCTGCTCACAATCTCCCACTGCATTGTAGTATATCTGCAGCTGTAATCTCAACCATGCAATAGCACTTGCTTGGCCTAGAGTAGATGCTCACAACCCATTCTCTAGTGCAGGATTAGATGAATAGTATATAGGATGGACACATGGTTCAGTAGTTAAGAGCATTTGCTGCTTTTGTGGAGGATCCAGGTTCAGTTCCCTGCACCCAGACAGCTCACAAACATCTGGAATTCTAGTTTCAGGAATTTGGCACCTTCTGGCCTCCATAGGTACCAGGCACACACAGTGCACTTACATACTGGCAAAACTCATACACAAAAATAAATCTTTAAAAAATGTAAAAAACAGAATGCATGTATTACAGACTTACTGTGAAAATGTATTTTAAATGTGCCTTCACTACTGACTTGGGTATCCATTGTTCATTATGTACCTGAATGAAATAGTATTTCTTTAAAAATAAGATGTAATTTAGATTTTTTTTTTCTGAGACAGGGTTTCTCTGTGTAGCTCTGGCTGTCCTGGAGCTTGCTCTGGAGACCAAGCTGGCCTTGAATGCACAGAGACCTGCCTGCTTATTCCTCCCAAGTGCTGGGATTACAGGCATGTGCTGCCACTGCCCAGTGTAATTTAGATTTTTTAATGGTCTTTCCTCATCTAGATAGTGTACTCTCTTTTGAATTCTCTGACATTGTGCTAAATCAGTGAGGCCTGAGGGCAACAAATGGAAACAAGTTTCTGTTGTTAAGACAGAAGCACTGCCACGTCACAGTTTGAACAGTGTGCTCCATGGCGAAGGGAGGATGTTGCATGGCGTCTGTGCATTCTGGCTTTGCCTAGTGCTGTGGACAGAACTCAGGGACCTGGACTCTGGGACTCTGGAACTCTGGGACCTGGATGTAGTGGTCAGGTGCTGTCAGTGAGCTGTTCCCTCACTGCAGCTTTCTGTTTCCTAGTCTAAAGACTGTGCTCGAAGTAGACAATGTCCATTCATTTACAAGACTGCCTTTTGTAACCCTGGCCTGTAGCTGAGGACAAGAAGAAATAGAATTGAGAGAAGCACATTCCCAAACTATGCAAAAGAGACAGCTTTCTCATGAAAACTTCAAAACAAGAAGGAATATCTAAATATTCCATATATATGTATATATGCATATTATAGACAAAGCCTTTTTCTTTCCAAATCTCGATTTTTTTTTTCAGTTGTAGGGAACTGACAGCTTTGCCTCCAGCTGGATGTTACAATTTTCAGCAGCAGCAACAGCAGCTATGTCTATGAAGGATGTAGCTTGGCCAGAACAGATTCAGGATGTATTATAGGACTGATGTGCTCAGGCTGTCAGTAGCAAATGCTCATTTCTCCCATTGTTTGTAGAGCTCTGGGCCTCCTGTCTGTGGCTTCAAAAAATCAATCAGAGAAATTGTTGCTTTAGATAGATGTTAAACATTTATACTGTGGTATCTGTGATTTTATTTTCAATCCTAGTCATTCTATATTTTAAACATTAGATTCATCTGTATAAAATCTAGAGGCCCAGCGAAACCAGCTGCTGATAGGCTCAGTGGCAAATGCCTTTCCTAACAACCCGAGCTCAGCCCTCAGAACATGCACAGACAGAGATAGCTAAATTCTGAAAGTTGTCTTGGATCATCCACATGTGTGTCACGGCCTGCACATTCACTCCCCATGAATGAATGAATGTTATGATGGGACATATTTGAGAATTAAAATACTTATTAACAATAAGTAACCCACTACAACACAGTATCTGAATACCATCTCTAAAACAAAAGGAGGGCTCCTAAATCTTGATGGCTGTTAGCATTTTGATCATGCAACAGGTGTTTCTAACCTGGGGCCAGCACCCAGCACTGCTGTTCCCAATCATGGCCATTATGTCTGGGATGGGGCTGAGGGGTTGGGGTGGACAGTGCTTACCCAGCTACTTCCAGGCCCAATGACACAGTAGAATTTGTATTTGTCTCAACTCTCTGCAGGTACTTTGAGCCTTCCCTGTGATCACATTCTATCAGGCCATTCTTCCTTCCTCTAAAAAAATCTCCCATAGAGTACTTTTCATTTCCAATGTGCTCCTCTACTTTCAAAACAAAATAAAATACCAAAACAAAACCAGGGAATAGAAAAAAGTATGGGATGCTGGTCACCATTTGAGTTCTTAGAAGTAAATTTGGTAAAGAAGGGAAGGGCCTATCAGTGGACTATCAGTAAACAATGATCAAGCCTGAAGGGAAGTTCTGCTGGATGACTCTGGCACTTCACTGAGCCCCTTTGTGCCCCGTGTCCTTGTTAGATGGAAATGTTAATGCTGGCTCACAAAACTTCTGCGAGGATCAATCATGTTAAGCACCGAAGAGTGCCTGGCGCACACATGAATAGTCCATGCACATTATAGCCATTATCCTTTTCAGATTCTGGATAGAAACTGACCAAGGAAGAGTTCTAGGGCAAGCAAATCAACTCTCACACAGAAGGCAGTGTGATTGGTTCTCCTTGCATTGAACACATTCTGATGTGGTTTTGGAAAATACTTGGAGCTATGGGTCTTCATCAGCAAATGGTATATCTTCTGGACCTCGCAATGGTGTCTGACTGAGGTCATCCACTTAGATGCTCACATTCCAAGAACTTCTGAGAAGCCTCTTTACATATAATGAAGCTTGTGGATGATGTAAGTCTTGAGAAATGAAGGGACTGTGAGCAAATGCAGAGCTGGGGAGATACAAGTGTCTCCCATCTGACAAGGCAACTCAACATGTAAATTGGGTAATTCACAAACATCTGATAATGAAATCTGTGCCAGATGTCAAGTTGGACAGTGCAGGTATTAGTAATACAGGAAGAGGTTGTGGTCCACGCTCTAGTGGAAGTCATGGCATAGGGAGTTTGTAGAAAGAAGTTTTGTCTAATTTTGTGTGACAGAGCAGAGTCTAGACAACATGTTGGTGCTACTTTTTTTTTTTTTTAAGATTTATTTATTTTCATTGTGTATGAATGTTTTGCCTGAAAGTATGTCCATGTACCACATGCATGCAGTGCCTGCAAAGGTCAGAAGATGGCATCAGATCCTCTGGGACTGGAGTTACAGATAGTTGTGAACTGCCCTGTGGGTGTTGGGAACACAACCTGGGTCCTTTGTAAGAGTAACAAGAGATCTTGGCTGCTAAACCGTCTCTCGTCCCTGGTGCCACTATCTTGAACACTGGGAGTTTCTCTTCCTTTTAAGGTTTCCAGGTACCCTTTAAACATGAAGACATCAGAGGTATTTTGAATTTGTATATCCTCTGATGGGAGAAGGCTGGTGGGCAAACAACCTAGTATTGATAATTATCTTTTGGTACAGATTAGCTTCTTGTCCAAAGTACAGAAAAGGAAGTACAGAAAGGAATTACAATAAAAGACCCATAACTCTCCATTGTTAGAGGACATGAGGTCATCCTGACAGGCTTTGGTCTTCTTAGCAACCTGTTTGAAGAGACTGAATACCACACTCAGGTGTGCTTTCCTCTAGTTTTTTCTTTTGGGAAATTTCCTACTGAAGGCTTTAAAAGGTGTTTTTATTTTGATTTATTTTAAACTTTTACTAAATTATCAAAAATTGAAATGCTTAAAACCATTTGTAGATTATGTGAAGTCTTAATTTGGAGCTTTAATTCCACAATTACTTTTCACACCTGGCTTTATTTACCTCTTTCTTGAGCCCTTGCTATATGGGCAACTTATCTAAAAAGTAGCCCTAAATGTTCTTAGTGTCTCCTATAGCATCACGGTGATGTTTCTTTAAAAACTAACTTTTTAAATATACAATATACTCTCATCTATTTTTATAGAATTTAATTTGCCTTTATTGGTGATCAATTGATTGAGGCAGGCTTCTGTCATATAGCCCAGGCTAGTCTTGAATTCATGATTCTCCTGACTCAGCCTCTCCAGTGCTGGGATTACATGCATGTTGCCACCATGCCTCTTAAACTCCTCGCTTCCCCACCAAGTCTGGGTTTCTCTGTGTAGCACTGGCTGTCCTAGAACTCACACTGTAGGCCAGGCTGGCCTTGGACACAGAGATCCACCTGCCTCTGTCTCCCGAGTGCTGGGATTGAAGGCTACCACCTTGCTTCTAAAGACAAAACTAGTTCCAAGCTTTGAAATGTGTGGTGGTGTTGATGACTCCAGGATGCACAGGTACCTGTCCCCTTGTGTAGACTTTTCCTTTGCTAGCAATTGTCCTGTGACTTGCATTAACTGATAGGATATGGTGGAAGTGGTTTAGGGCGGGTTCAATGACTAGACACCTGTCAATTCTGTGTCTTCCAGCTTCCTCCAGCTGGAATATTTGATGTTAGAAACATTGGACTGGTTTAAAGGGAAAATGTACTACCTTGCTGCACAGACTGTTAAGAGACTCAGACTGGATGGAACATGATCAAATTTCAGTTGTCTTGAGTTCTAGCTCAGCCTCTATGTAACTCTAGTCTCAGCTGCCATCTGATGTCAAATTACATAAGCTATGTGAAGAGATCAGCAGAACATCCTCACTGAGCCCAGCTACCCACGGAAAAGTAAGACAATCAAATGACCTTTGTTTGAGCCCCTTAGTTTTAAGGCCTAGACTTATAGCATACATGACAAACCCATTAGCCACAAGGCTCCAGATGACATCCTTTCACTGTACCAACGTTAAGTTCCTTCCCTCAGTACTTCATGCGCGAACAGGAATGACTTTGATGAAAACAGAGAAACCGACATACCATTCGGTGTCCTAACTATCTGGAGTAGTGTGTAGTTTTCTCATTCTCTGTCATAAAACTCATCATAAAGTGGGACCCTCTCTGTCCTGGTCCTCACTAGTGCTTGTGGTCTCTTTGGATCTTTCTCAGGCTCGTCTGAGTCAGAGCTAGAGCTGTCACAGAAAAGCGGTCCTTGGGCTGCTTGTTCACGGAGCCATGCTTCCATTTTGCCAATTTTCCGGACACAATAGTCATTCTCTGTGTGATATTCCACGAACTTTTCATCCCGTGGATTTCCTGTAAAAGAGCAAAAGTCCTTTTACTGTCTCCTAAAGATTGATTATTTAAAGTGCTCTTATTATCATAGAATAATCTACTTGACGTTAATACTGGAAGAAAAATATTAGCCTTTTCTGTAAACACTGTAAAACTGTTGTTTGCCACAGGAATTAAAATCTTTTTTTCTTCCCTATCTCTATTATGAAAATGTTTAAATCTTCCTACCCCACCCCCCCCATACTGTTAAAACTGTTGTTTACATAAAATTCTTGGATTTAAGTGACTTAAGCACCCCATCCCTTCCCACTTCCCTTCATTTCCTTTTTACAAATCTTTCAAAACTAGCCAATTTCAAAAGACTGGGAGGTTGGCCCCCAGCCAATGGGGAAAAGACACAGTCACTACCTGTGTTGGAATAAAACCCTGAGCACTTCCTGTACCAGTGTGCCTGCTAGCCCAGGTTGGATTGGCACACCTTTTTGCAAAAAGAATTCCTTTGCTCTTTTGTTTTGTTCTGGTTTTCCTTTGTACAACATTGAGATTATTCATTCTTTTTTTAAGATTCATTTATTTATTATGTATATAGTATTCTGCTTGCAGGCCAGAAGAGGGCACCAGATCTCATTACAGATGGCTGTGAGCCACCATGTGGGTGCTGGGAATTGAACTCAGGACCTCTGGAAGAACAGCCAATGTTCTTAACCTCTGAGCCATCTCTTCAGCCCTATTCATTGTTTTTAACTACAACAAACACACATACATTGACTGTTATCTCTGTAAATACTAATTTTTAGCTGTTATTTGAATTTTATTTAATCATCTAAAAGTAACAAGACTAGTAAAACAAACCTAGATTTCCAACTTCTCCTCCACAACATTTTGCCACAATATTGCTTTCAGCTGAGCCATCTGAAAATCAGGGGAAGGGGTAGAGCTCAGTTGGTAGAGTGCTTGATCAGCACACACAATCAGCAAGCACTATACAGACTGCATGAAACATGGGTGGTGGCAGATGCCTGTGTTCCTAGAAGTCAAGAGGTGGAGGAGGCAAGAGGACCAGAAGTTCAGGTCATCCATTGATGCACACTCAGATATGTGAGGTCTGTCTCAAAACAAACAAACAAAGCCAGAAAAACAAAACCACATCTCTAGACTTTTGTCATTAGCAAAACAAATAAATGAATGAGCCAATGAGTAATCAGAGAATTTTAGGAAATGAGGAGTAATGGCGACCTGGGAAATACTTCATTATTGGAGCTTAAACTTGTCAGTCATCTCTGTTCTGAAAATGAGCTGAGCACTGCAAGAGGCATCACTGAGAAGAGAAATTTCTACAATGTCTAACTAGAAGCAGAACTTTGAAATGGGAAGAAAATGTCTACTAGTGGTGGGGTCTAATATACTATGAACGGTAGCTTAAGTCCCACAACGTTCTTTGTGCCATGACCGTCCCAGTCTAATGTTGTACGTGATGCAAATGCACACCCTCAGTTTCATCCTTGAAAACCAGCCTTTCTCACCAATAGGGGACCATGCACACAGTTCTGGGTACATAGCACTGAAGCTTGAGGGCATCTGAGCTAGATATAACAACATTGTTGTTGATGTTCCATGGTCTATGGCTTATAGACTCGAAAACAATAAAAATTAAAACAATCATGACCTTTAGAAACCTAAATGGATTTTGGGTGGGTCCAACAGAAGTCAGTATATAAAGCTCCAGGATTAACCTTTTTAAAGTTTTTTTTTTTTAAAGGGGAAGCCAATATATGCTGATGTGTGTGGAGGAAATGAGTGATTTAAATGGTACAGCAATCAGCATGAAGAATCTTTGACAGTTGTATGCTTTATAATATGTGTTTTAGAAAAATCTATCATGAGTGGCGGTGACCCATGCCTTTAATCCTAGCACTTGGGAGGCAGAGCCAGGTGGATCTCTGTGAGTTCAAGGCCAGCCTGGGCTACAGAGTGAGATCCAGGACAGCCACCAAAAACTACACAGAAAAACCCTGTCTTGAAAAACAAAACAAAACAAAAAAACCACCACTTTATGACACTATAACATCACAGTAGTTTAAAGACAAAGCTATATATTTTCAAAAAATTTATTGATTTAGTAGTTAAATAGTGTGGGTGGATAGAGAAGATTAGAATTATGAAGGTGATACTGAAATGATAGATTTAGGGTGACATTTTCTGAAAGATATGGTTGTTTTAGTATAAGACATTGTGATGGTTAATGTTGGCTGTTATCTTGGGTGATTCTAAAAACCACTTGCCTCTGAGCATGCCCAGGAGGGATTGTCAACTAGGTTAATTGAGGTGGGAAGACCCACCCTGAACGTGGTACCCATGCATAGGCTGGGCTCCTGAACCAAATGAAAGAGAAAGTGAGCTGCGTCTACTGAGCCCTCTACTTCCCAGCTGGATGAAGTGTAGCCAGCTGCCTCCTACTCCTGACACCACACTTTCCCTACTGGACTTCACTACCTGAAACCGTGAGCCAGAATAAACACCTGCTCCCTTAAGTTGCTTCTCTCAGGTATTTTGTTGCTTCAGTGAGGCGACAGTTCCATCCTTCTCCCTTTGGTTTTACGCACATTCCTATGTATTGCCTGAACCTCACAGCTTATGTTATGCGCACTGGAGGTGGGGAAGACTCTATGTGCACAGGTGCATGTGGACGACGGAGGCTTAGGACAAGTGTCTTGTCAGTTGCTCTCCATCTTATGTGTTGAGCCAGGGCCTCTCACTGAGCCCAGAGCTCACTGGGTTGGCTGGCTTGGTTTGGCTAGCAAGCCTCAAGGGTTCCCCCATCTCCGCCTCTCTAAAACTGGGATTGTAGATGCAATGCTGCCACGACTTGGCTTTTTATGCATGTACTAAAGATCCAAGCTCAGGTCCTCAAGCTCATGGGGCAAACACTTTCTCAGTGTAGCAATCTCCCTAGCCCTGACTTGGGCTTCTATACAAATGAGATTGTAGCTGGAATTTTCTCCAGTCCTGGCCAGGCCTGCAGCCACTCAGACCCAAATAAACACACAGAGGCTTATATTAATTAAAACTGTATGGCCTAATGGCTCAGGCTAACTATTAACTAGTTCTTACACTTAAATTAACCCATAATTCTTATTTAGGTTTAGCCACGTGGCTTGGTACCTTTTCTCAGTTCTGCCTTCACATCTTGCTTCCTCTGTGTCTGGCTGGCGACTCCTGACTCAGTCTTCTTGTTCCCAGAAATCTCTCTGCTTGTCCTGCCTATACTTCCTGCCTGGCTACTAGCCAATCAGCACTTCATTTTTAACCAATCAAAGCAACACATTTACAGCATACAGAGCGATATCCACAGCATGAGATTAACTTTACATGAACTCTACTTTGACTGATACTATTTATCCCCATTTTACGGACCTAGAGAGACAGGGTCACAGGAGTGAAGCAATAAATATACTTAAATTTTCTCTTTAAAAAATGAAACAATGCAGAAAAATCTATGGTTTGTCAGACCCTGCTCTAGGAACAGGAGAATGTGCCTTCTGTCAGGAGAGAGTGTACTGTTGGGGCTCAGGGACGGACTTTGATCCCAATTTCTGTGACTTTCTCCAACTGTATCCAAGTCATGCCTCTGGAAAGGGCAGGGGCCACATGAAAATAGTAAAACTCACAGAATTGTACACCAAAAAGAGTGATGCTCACTGTATGTATGTTGTACTTAATTATTTTATATGACTATATGTGTGATTTATCATGTGAATATATAAACCAAAAATTTAAAGGTAGTTTTGTTTTAAAGAGGCAGCAGAAAATAGAGATTGCCTTCTGTCTCACTAGAGGCTAAACTTCTCATCCTGTCTTCCAGAGAGAAACAAAAAAAAATGGTGGACACACCATTAAATCAGTGAAGGCTGGAACAGAGGTGTCTGCATTGCCAGACCCTGACTACCAGGATGCTCAGGTCTGTGTCTGAGCTTGGCTCTATCCCACTCACAAGAGAAAGCAAAGTGAAATGCTTTTGGAAGACAGGGAAAGTAGTCCAAGAGGTTCTCTGTGATGGGCAAGGAGTCTTTGCTAGAACCTGTGGCAAGAGTAGTCAAGTGTGAAGCCTCTGGGGTAAGGCATCCTGAGAATACTATCTGGCTGTGACCTTGTGCATGAACCCGTCCTTTCTGGATCTGGTCTCCTTATACATGAAACAGGCGAATAATCCTGACCTCTTTTGATTCATATAGGAAGAACTCAATACTGTGTTATATATTATAGTATTATATCATCCCTGTAAGCTCCTGCCTGTGGGGCTGTGCAGCAAGAATGGAAGCAATGGGGAGAACGGCCAACTTTGTGACCCACAATCTCTCCATCATCAAAGCAATGTGTGGCGATACTTCACTTCTTGTGACAATTCCCATTGTCAACTTGACTGGATTTGGAATCACCTAGGAGACACACCTCTGGGTACACCTGCAAGTGTGCTTCCAGAGGGAAGACATACCCCAAACGTGGGTGGCACCATCCCATTGGCTGGGGTTCCAGACTGGGTCGAGAGGACCGAGAAGGAAGCAAGCTGTTGGGTCAGTTTCCATCTCTACCTGCTTCCTGGCTGCAGACACGATGTGACCAACCTCTCACCCCTGCCACCGTGCCTTTCCTGCCATAATGAACTATATCTTGGAACTGTGCACCACAACAAACTCTTCCTTCTACAGAGTTCTTGTGGGCAATTTTGTTAGAGCAACCAGAAAAGTAAGCCGTGGATTTCCATTTCTAGCAATTTCAGCAGCTGGCAAGGCTAATTGCCTGCAGACATCTCCCTCCATGAGATCCTAATTAATAGTGATCTCATTAAAAAAAAAAAAATTTCTTCAACTTTATATTTTTTAAGAAACTTTTTATTGATTCTTTGTGGATTTCACATCATGCATCCCACTCATCTTCCCTTGCAACTCTCCCTCCCTAATAAAATAAAGACAAAAAAAAAAATCTTGCCATGGAAGCTGTAGTGTGTCACAGTGAGTCACACAGTATACCCTTTAGTCCATACATCTTTATATGCAAATGTTCATTGCAATGAGTCATTGGTCTGGTTTGAGGCCTCTGGCTACAGTAAGGATTAATACTGGATCCTCACTGGGACTCTTCTTGGATATCCTGTTGTGAGAGTGAAATGAGAGACGGTGCTTCAAGGACAGATCACATGACCGGCTGCTTGGTCTGCTTTTGAGATAGGGTCTCAGTGTGGAGTCCAGGTTGGCCTGGAAGTCACTATGCCATCCAAGGAACTCATGGTGATCAAGAACTGGGATTACAGGTTTAGGCGAGAGAAAGAGAGAGAGAGAGAGAGAGAGAGAGAGAGAGAGAGAGAGAGAGAGAGATCAGCAAACCACAGCTGGAGTAGAGTGAAGCCTCTTTAGAAAGCTTCAGGAAAGCAATGGAAAACCCTTGTCTTCAGTCCCTCCTGGGTCCCTCCCAGCCTTTGCCAATGTATTAGGCTCGTTCTCAGGTGATGACTTGGAGTGCTTAGCTCTAGGGAGCCCCTTTTCCTTCGTTGTTTTGTCAATATTTTTTTTCAGTTGCAAATGTTGTTTATTTGACAACAAAGCCTGTCTCTATCTGAGACTGGGACGTAGGTTAAATGGATGCCCCAAGCTGATTTCAAGCTGATTTTCAGTGACTCTGCCTTTTGTTTAGTTAACTTATTGATGCGTTCAGACCCTTGTTCTTTGGAGTGGGGACAGCATCTCCTTCAGCAGGTGATTCTGCATCTTAGAGCTCACTTGCCATTGCTGCAGCTCCACCATGGTCAGCCCTACTGATGTGGGGTTCCCCCCCTCCTCCCCGGCACAGCAACCTCTGTGTGTGAACAATACAGGACACATGCAGCGTTCTCCTGGGAGAACTCACACTGGGAAAACTTAATGAGCATTCCAGTTGGTGGGCAGCGTAGCAGACAGGTTGTGGATGAGGATATCTGTTGGAAAGCCCAGAACAACTCGAGGCTGGAGTGTGGAGCAGCAGGAGATGAAATGAGAACATAGGCAGTGACCAGATTCGGAAAGACCTGGGACCCCCTGTTATGATAGAAGTTTGGCTGCATTTTTTTTTAAAGATTTATTTTTACTTATGAGTTTGTGCTTATGTGCTTATAGGGCATGTGTGTACAGGTTTTGTAGGATGCTAGAAGAGGGCACCAGATACCCCGGAGCCGGAGTTGCAGGCAGTTTTGAGCCACCCTCCATGGGTTCTGGGAAGCAAACTTGGTCCTGTGGAGGGATGGTAAGCACTCTGGACCACTGAGCCAGCTCTCCAGTCCTGGCAATTGTTTTCTAAGCAGGAGAGTGATGTGGCCAGATGCTTTCCATGAGGTCACTCTGCATCAGCACAGTGCTTCTAGAAGTTCAGCTTATGGGGCTGGGGATGGAGCTCTGGTCCAAGTGACATGGGGTATGAGGGCCTCCTCCATACAGATGGTGGATGAAGCAGGAGCCAGGTGGAGAGGGTAGGGGTGCTAGATTCACTGTAGCATTCATGGGTATCCACGAAGGCTGAACTACACACACGGCAAAGGGTGCTCGAGGGATAAGGGGTTGATGTATATTACATAAATGTGCCTGTGAGCACAGGAAACTTCATGCATCTATCAGAGCCTCTCTCTGACAGTAAGAGATGCTGTGAGCCTGTCTTATGAGTGCCTGCAAAGCACTTAGAATCTACAAGAGGAAAGACCTCTATGCAGAGCTTAAAAGCTTTTTTGTCTTTTTCTCTCAGAGATGCAAAACACAATGCAGCATGCCATTTCTTATGTCTTATTCTAAGACATCAAACGTCCCCTCAGTGACATCTGTTTGCTGTCCCCTCACTTTCCTTCCCCTGCCCATTATGGATATTTATTTGATGAAGTTTCAAATCTGTTTGCATCTCAGTGCTCAAGAAGCTGAGGCAGGAGGATATTGAGTTCAAGTTTGACTCTGTCTCAAAGCAAAATTAAGGAGCTGGGGATATAGGTCTATTGGTGGAGTGTTTGCCTGCCATGTTTACGAAGCCCTGGGCTCGATATCTAGCTTGACATAAACAAACTGGGCATAGTGGTGCAATCCAGTGCTTGGGAGGTGGAGGCAGGAGCATCGGAAGTTCAAGGTCATCTTTGAGAACATAGTGAGTCTGAGGCTACCCTGAGCTACATAAAAGCCTGTCTTAAAGCAATAACTGAACCCCAAACCGAACCGAAACAACACGTGAAAGGTTTTCCTAAAGAAATGACAGTACCCACCTGGGTGTCTGTTCACGGTTTCATCAGGCAGTATGGTGACAACGTCATAGTGCTTGCTCCTGGGCATGCTCTCGGTGATTTTATTGCCGTTATGGTCCTTCAGCTTTTGCATATCAAGTCTCGCTTTACTCTGAAGACTGTGCAACTTCATTTGGGCCTGAAATGATAAGGTGGAAGTGGTTAATAGTCTCCCAAACTGTCTTCTCCAGAACAAACGCAGCCACAACAAAAGCATGGACAGTTCACAGACCTGGCCACCCTTGAACACATTGGGATGGTTTTGTTCTCATCACATTCTGTGGCACCTTTATTCCGAGGCTTGTCAGGAGACAGACGAGCATGCTCACTGGCTTACAGAGGCGTGGATCAAGGAAACGAGGGTCCCCGTCAGCCTCTGTCTGTAGGTGAGGTTTTGGAATTGCAGAGGATAGAACTACAGGCTGGTTCCTTAGAGGGGGTGGGGGGCTCGGGGTATGACAGTGGCAGAGCCTTCCTGGAGAAAGGTGTCCTCCCAAATTCTTAGGTTGGAAACATGACCCTCCCGATTCTTATGCTAATTTGTAGGTGGGTTTTTTGTTTTTTTTTAAAGAGAAGTTCGGGTGGTGAGGGTTTCGCCCTTAGGACAGAGTGAAACTGTTATCCCAGGAGAGGCTAGTTATCCCTGGTGAGTTATAAAGGCTGCCTTGACTGCCTTGGTTTGCTCTGGCTCCCGACTCCTCACTCTCATGAACATTGTCGCCTACCATGTCCTCTGCTGTGTTGTGCCACCTCTTATCAACTACCGGTATCTCAGTCTTAGACTCCCCCGCCCCCAGAACAATGAGCAATGTATTTATCATCTGGGGGGTTTGAAAGAAAACGGCCGCCAGAGGGAGTGGCTCTATTAGGAGGCGTGGCCTTGTTGGAGTGGGTGTGGCCTTGTTGGAGTGGGTGTGGCCTTGCTGGAGTGGGTGTGGCCTTGTTGGAGGAAGTGTGTCGCTGTGGAGTTGGGGTTTGAGGTCTCATATATGCTCAAGATACCACCCCGTGTCTGAGACCACTTCCTGTTGCCATCAAGTCAAGATGTAGGACATTCAGCTCCTTCTCCAGCACCATGTCTGCTCACATGCTGCCAATGTCCCACCATGATGATAATGGACTGAACCTCTGAACTGTAAGTAGCCACTCCAGTGAAATGCTTTCCCTTTATAAGAATTGCATGGTCATGTGTCTCTTCACAGCGATGGAAACCCTAGCTCAGACATCATCTTTATTAATTACCACATCTCTGGTATTCTCTTATAGCAGCAGAAATGGACGAAGACAAAAGCCTTGCCTGTTTCTTCTTTTGGAAACAGGGTTACATTCCATAGCTCGGCTGTCCTGAAACTTTCTGTGTCACCCAGGCTGGCCTAGACCTTGTGGTAGTCCTCCTCTACAGCACCCCCAAGCATGGATACAAGTGTGCCTAGTACAAGGCGTTTCTCACTAGCAAATTCTATGGCATGAGTTAATAGGGAGAGGCCTGTGTATCAGAATAAAGACTGACCTCGATCCCCTCTCCTACTAAACCAAGAAAGAAATATTATTTACCTTATTTTCTGGCTACAGCTGGAAGGTCAAAGGTTATTACAAGAGACACAAGCTGGGCTTTTACACATCTTTAATCCTAACATTCAGGAGGCAGAAGGTCATCTTGGCCCACACAGTGAGTTCCAGGCCAGCCAGGGCTATATAGCGAGACTCTTTCTTAAAAAACAAACCAAAGAGACAAAGAAAAAGGGACACTTGAGGGACCAATGAGATGACCCAGTGGCTAAGGGAGCTTGCTGCAAAGCCTGGCAAATTTGAGTTTGATAACCGGAACCCATATGATGGAAAAAAAAAAAAAACAACAACCTACTACTAAAAATTAGCCTGTGACCTCTAGACGTGTACTGTGGCATGTGTATGTGCTCTCTCCCTCACAAAATAAAGAAATAATCGAGAGAGGAGAGGGGGAGAGAGGGAGAGAGAGGGAGGGAGGGAGGGAGAGAGAGATGCTTGAAGCACAGATCTAATATTGTAGAGAAGTGAAAAAAAAAAAGACTCATCAAGGCTTGGGACAAAAGGTCATCTTCCTGTTTTTCCCAGCTCAGGCAGTGGCAGCTTCTGCTCTGTTGCTGAGAACAGACTGGACTCGGCAGGACAGTGACGGTACCCTCCAAATTTGGTAAACATGACCCCCTTCTCTTTACCTCCTGTCTCTTATGGTTTATCTCCAGCATTTTCATCTTATGTAAATACTGTCTCTTCCCAGAAGTGTACATTGGAAGCTGCATTTTCTTCTCAAGTTCCTGCTATGAAAGATGATATATTTATTAGTATGGATGGGGAAATGGTAATTTACTGCCTTCAACCCTTCTTGGAGCAGGAGATCTTAATCCCTGGTAATCTGTAGCCGGTCTCCTGTCTTGGTGAAAGTACACTGCAGCTGTGTCCCTGACAAGTCGTTTGTGTAGCTGTCAGAGAATGAAGTGGCACTCTGCCGTGTAGCTGATAGTGTTTTAAGGGTCTTTGCAGGGTTTTGGATTCGAGGGTTTTTAACAATTTCATTTTGATAATCTCACGTTGACAACAGTCCATTTCCCCTGCCAACAGATGCTTTTACTATCTGTCTAGAAAGGTGTCCTGGTCTGATGAGACCTTCCTTTCTCTTCCTGTGTCTTCTATCATTGACCGACTGGCTGTGCAGTAAGAGGAGGTGGTTCAGTAGAACCTATTTCTCTACAGTATATTTTCACATTTGAATACATGCCCAAGGGAGCATGGCCGGTGAGGGGGGATTTGAAGCGACTGCTTCTGTGTCTGGTGGTCTCCCCTTAGTTTGTCCCAAAATTCAGTGGCACAGTCAAGGTGACTATTGAGGACGAGCAGAGGTGAAGATAGTTTCGTTTGTCACTTGCTGTTGTCCAGAGGTGAAGGAGAGAGTTGATGACAGCCCTTTGTGCGGCTCTGTGGACAATGTGTGGGATAGTGCAGGAAGGTCGGGGGGAGGATGTCCCCACTGTCAGCGCCTTAAACATGAACTCAAGGACCTACAGCGCTCAGGTGTCCCTTACCCGGCCACACAGCAGTGTCTGGCTGGCTCCAGGATGAGTCAGGACAGGGTATGAAAGTGACCCGGACTAACGGCTTTCATTTTTACTCAGCAGGACAAAGCTAACAGAAGACCTTTCCTGGGATTACATTTTGATGGAGGTTGTGGCCCAGAAGTCAGGAACAACTTCTAATAAGATCTTCCCTGGAGTCAGAGCAGAGGGAGTGCGAAACTCGGGAGAGGTGAAGGGAAGAGCCATGCTGGCTTGCCTCCACCGCAGATTTAAAAAACCTTTAGAATCATTGGTTTCCATGTAAAATCCCCCTTTCATCTACATAGCTCTGTTTGCGCCACAAAGCAAACAGAGCCTGGCCTCTTCCAAGAGTGAAGAGCACTTGCCAGTTGGAGGCAGGCATGGGCAAGCGCTGAAGCTTCAAACATTCTACCTGCCAAGGACTGAACTGTCTGCTTCGCCTTTGAACTCCTGTGTGAAGGGGAAACATGAAAAGAGTGACTCCCCCAGGCTCCCCCGCTCCCCCAGTCAGGAACTGCCACAGCTCACCTTTGCTTTGTGTCTTGTTCTGGCTTCTTGCTGGCTCAGGAGTCGCTCAGAGGTAATGACTTGTGGCAGGTCAATGGGCTCGAGCTTCTAGAAGTCCAATATTTAGAGTATTCAGCGTCCCTCATGCCGTGACATGATGAAGCACAAAAGCAGAGACATTTAACTACCTGAGCACTCTGTGGAAGCTGAACTTCCTCCTGGGCATGCGCAGAGAAGGTGGCTCCCACAGTATCACAGTTGTTTCCTGTGAGAAAGGCTTTTTGACCTCTGGGGTTCTTTACTGTTCTATCACACCGTTTCCAGTGAGTTATTAATCAAAATATTGGTCAGAGAATTGAGCACTTTTTCTCCTGTACTGATGGGCCATGTTCAAAGTCACCCAATAGCTGGGGTCTTAGAGCAGTAGAGATTCGACACCGGAGACACACCTATCTTCCCTTGACCGCCCAGCTGAGTGTCCCAGTGCTTAGGAAGTGACATATTTTGAAGGTCTCTAGAGACGCTCCCTCACTAATCATGAGTGACAAGACACACTCAAAAGGAAAGTGCAAAGTGTTAACAAATGATAGGACCATCTTTTTCTAGCAGGGGGTAGGCTTTGGGGGAGACATTTTATCGGAACTTGAAAGGGTCACTAAAACTGAGCAGCACTATTTCCATGGGTTTGTCTAACTCGCCTCTTTCCTTCTCTCTCTGTTGTACATGTATGTGTGGGTACACCCATTCGTGTGTGCACATGTAGAGAGCAAGGGTTGATGTCTGGTGTCTTAGACAGCTCTCAAGGTTATTTTTATTTGTATTTTATGTGAGGCAGGGTCTCTCACTGAACTTGTGACTAACGGTTTCCACTAGATGGCTAGGCAGTGAGCCCCTGGGAACATCTCTTTTCACAACTCCTCCCACCCCAGTCTTCCTGGGGTTATGGACGGGCACTGTCATAACTGAGTACTTCCAGACCTGGGGTTTTAGCTTTTTTGTGTGGGTGTTGGGTATCCAAAGTCTGCACTGCATGCGCTTTACCCACTCAGTCTTGCCTGGCCCACAGCCTAGCCTTCCTTCACCTCAGAGAACACTGGGCTCTACAAGCTGACCATGGGAGACAAAGCTGGTCTCCTCACGTTGACGTGCATGTGTGTGTGGGGGTGGGGGGGTCTGCAGAGTTTGTTCACTCAGGGTGACAGCTGAGTTCTTCACATCCAGGCAGTCTGTCTGTGTTTGAGGCAAGAACTGGCTTGTTGGAGAGTATTATTTTAAGGTGTGCTACTTTTGTTCAGGTTGCATTTGTTTAACTCTGTGATGCTGTGTTACTGGGCCTGTCTAACACACCTGATGGTCTAATAAAGAACTGAACGGCCAATGGCGAGGCAGGAGAAAGGATAGGCGGGGCTGGCAGGCAGGGAGTATATATAGAGGGAGAAATCTGGAGAGGGAGATCTAGAAGGAGCCAGAGAAGGGGAGGACATCAGGGGTCAGCCACCCAGCCACACATCCAGCCAGCCACGGAGTAAGAGTAAGAGTTACAGAAGTAAGAGAATGGGAAAAGCCCAGAGGCAAATGGTAGACAGGGCTAATTTAAAGTTAAGGAAACAAGGCAAGCTAAGGCCGGGCATTCATAATTAAGAATAAGCCTCCGTGTGTGATTTATTTGGGAGCTGGGTGGCAGGCTCCCTAAAAGAGTGAAAAAATGAACAACACTGGCTGTCTATCCTAGTCTCAGCAGAGCAGCATTTCCAGACTCCTCGGTAGTAATCAGTGGTGACTATGAGACCATTCCCATGAGGCCTGGCCCTGTACCTCAATCCAGCAGAGAAGCAATGAGAAGTGACTAACACAGGAAGGGAAGCTTGGTTGTCCCCTGCCTTTTCAGTTGTTCAGGGTGTGAAAGACGCTACTTGAGGAGGGAGCAGTTGATTGTGTCAGGATGCTGGAGGGAGAGGCCCAGGAACGGGGAGACTCCCAGACACCCACGGGAGGAAGAGTCTATGACAGCTGGGGGTGGGGTCTGGGTCTCCTCCACATGGGCCAGTCTTCAGGATTTGTGCATGCACAAGTCTGTCCGGCTGCATAGCTATTGTTCCATATTATGTGCAGGAGTAAATGTACCATCACTTGTTCTCAGGTGAACTCGGTGTATAAATCACGAGGGTCCTCATTTTAGAAAGGTTAATGCCCAACTGGGCAGTGGCATGACTATGATTCATCTCTGATGTATACCCAGTCTCGAGCCAGGTTCTCCACCTAATTGTTTGCCCTGCAAATGCTTGATCCTCAGAATGCCCTCGCATTGTGAAACAAAATCTCGCAGAATTTCGCTGGAGCTGCGGAGTCCCCAGGTCTGGGGTATGTCTTGGGAGTAGATAGTTTTCAGAGCTCCCCCAGAGACACTGAGGATTCCTTTGAAATCGTTCTGTTGGGGGGTCTGGAGTGGTCCCACATTGCCACAGATGAACAAGAGGACTGCACGGAGAGTACACTATAGAAGGTTTTGTGTGCAGTATGAACACCCAGTCTGAAGAAGCCCAGATCCTTGAGTCATTTAAAAAATAGTCTTTGGACCAGATTTTTGGTTTGACAGTATGAATGTCTGAGTCACGGCAGGCTCCTTTTCTTTATTCTCAGCCTTCCATTTAAACTCACGTTTCTGATAACGGTTAAAGAGTAGATACTGGTGAGAACGCTCCAGACAATTTTCTGAGAACAGAACACGACCGCCCGGTCTCTGTACAGAGCCACTAGATGGCAGCAAGCGACACTGCAAGTGGCTTTTCTGTCCACACAGAGTTTGGCCCCGAGAAGCCGAGCACAGAAAAAATGGTTGGGAAAGCTAGCTTCGTTTAAATATGCCAGCCGAGTGATGTTCAGAATCCTGGGTTCTCTTGCACACCCCTTGCCCTACAGTGGTAGGGAGATTCCTTGCTTTTTCCCTTGCAGAGGAAACACGCTGGAAGGAACTGCTTAGAGAAGTGGTAGGGTGGCACGTTCTCATTTTTAATATTAGGAAATATCTTATTTGTCTTAAGATTTATGAATTACTTGGCTGTTCAACACATGATCAATATCATCAGTTGGAGTATGTGCTACGGCTTTGGGGATGGAAAATAAGCCATCCACGCACCACAAATATCTGCACTTGGTGATGAACACTAACCTAGGAAAGGCTACTTTTGTTTATTAGTAAGAAAAGGAAGGTGGGTCAGAGCAACCCAAAGAAAGCATAACATTTGTTTGGCACAATGACTTAAGAGTGTGTCTTTAGACTCTGATAAGTGGAGAATGTGTTCTCTGACAGCTTTATGTAGGTGATCACCAAGACAACTTAAGGCCGAGAAAGAATTTCTGATCAAGTCCTTGCAATGCAGTTTCGTTTCAGTAACATTCTTTGTTCCCAACAGTTGTCCATGAAAGACAAAAAATGAAGCCAACATGACATGATTTGGCTTTCAGTACAAGGCAAATATTTCCCTAGATCAGAAAACAGAACAGAAATGCAAACATTTGTGGGGAGCTGATCCATAAGACATTGGGGCAGGTGAAGTCTGTGAGTTATTTATCTTGGATAAAGGGGATCAGGAAACGCTCCATGGAAGATCTAGGCTCACAGCTTGAGATCAGGGCTGAGTTATCCACCTTGCTACATATGAAAGGAGGCCTGGGGTAGAGCTGAGTAGTAAAGCATGTTCTTTTAGCATGTATGAGGCCATGGGTTCAATTCTCAGCACTGAAAACGTGAAATAAGGTGTCTGGGGCTGGGGAGATGGCTCAGTGGATAAAATGCTCATCACAAAAGTGTGAGACCTTGAGAGCTAGAAATGGGATTCTCAGGACAAACTGTCTGAACTCTGTATTGGTGAACTCCAGGTTCAGGGAGAGACTCCTTGTCAATAAATACAAAGGAGGGTCATTAAAGAAGAAACCCAACACCAATCTTTAGCCAACACACACACTCACACACACACACACTTCACACTGTAAGTTGGAAGATTCATTTCATACGACTTAGCAAAGTGTTGAATATGGAGAAGACTTCGTAGCAATAAATTCTAATGCTTTGTGTTAACTGGATAATTTCCAAGAAACAGCCAGGAAGAATAAGATATCCAAGTCAAACGCAGAACTATAAAGAAATTAAGCTAGTAGGAAAAATGATCACTTCCCTTAAAAGTCCAAGAGTCTAAAAATAGTAGTGGAGGCATGTTTTACAAAATGTTAGGAGAATAGAGAATTCCTGCTCTATAATAAATGTTTTGGAAAAGAAGAACGAGAAATCTCTTCCTTTTACAAGACTGATTCAATCTTAGTGGCAAAGCTGGTGTAAAAGTGTATTAGAAAAGTGTAGATCCATCTCAACTCGTTAAAGCAGATAAATAAAGCCTTTGGAAATCCAGCTCAGCAATGTGTACACTTAGATACTTTAGGACCAAGTCCAGTCTCTTCCAGAAATGCAAGCGTGGTTCAGCATTATAAAATTCACACTCTATCAACTAGGGAAAAGAAAGCTCATGGGGTTGTTTATTTTTATGTGGGCAGACACATCTCTGTGTGTGGGTGGATGTGATTGTTTTAATAAATGAGGACAAAAATCCATTAAATCTAACACTCAGCAGTGATAAAGTCTTAGCATGAGGTAAATGCGTGAAATTGAACGCTATGGTGCCAGGTATCTTCTGTTGGTCTCTCCAGATCTTCTCATCCACTAGCCACCTGTCCTCTGCCTGTACCCATGCCCAGCTCCCTTGCCTCCGGCTTCCTATGGGATGTAGCCAATAGGAAGGGGATGATGATGAGGTCATGTATTTGGGCTTCCAGCTCTTCACAAGGTGGTATGGGGGGACTGTCCCTCCATGGAGGTTCACTCTTGTTCTCAGTGCAACTTTCTCTACCTGGCTTTTTCCTTTCAGGCTCCAGAAATCTCTCCTCTTGCCTTGGCCTGGTTACCCATTAGCCACCTCTAACAGTTTCTGAAATATCTTTGGCTGTTTTTCTTAACCAAACTTCCTTGCAGGATAGTTACAAAGAAAACTTTCCCGAATTGCTATGATTTCAGTGTGCCACCTGTGTCTTTGGGGACTTTGCCAGTACTTATCAAAATCCTACAGCATACATTATATATGCTGAGTATCCTTTACTTGAAATTCTTGGAACTAGTAGTAGTGTTTCAAATTTGGGGTCTTATTTTGGATTTTCAAATATTTGCATGTATGTAATGAGATGTCTTGGGAATGGGACCCAAGTTAAACACTTGTTTCATGTGTTTGCTAGGTGTGCTAGCTGAAGGTAATTTTACACAGTGTTTTTGCTGTTTGGGTAGCAAACCAGTACACGGGATCAGGTGTGGAATTTTTCTCCTGTGGTAATGTCAGTGTTCAGATAAAACTGGATTTTGGAGCATTTTGGATTTTACATATTAGAATTAGGGATTCTTAATATCTTTGGAAAATAGTGTCCAGGGGAAGAGAATAGAGAAGGCCTGAGGGAATCAGGACTGCTGGGATGGGGTTTGCAATGGTTAATAGGTTGTTCAAGTGAACCTCAGAGAGATGCTGAAATTTGAACACATCTCTGGAACTCAGAATTATCCAGCTGGATTAGGTGGGCCAACATTGTGTGTGTGGGGGGGAGGGGGTAGTAGGAGGGCATTCCTATTAGGCTGCATGGTCAGAGGAGAAGGTGGGCAGGCGGGGTGTGTGTGTGTGCTGCTGATCAACTCTTCTACACAGCATGAGCAGGGGGTGCACTATTGATTAAGAGCTCCAGGCAGAGAGGCTCAGTTCTCACCTCCAGGAAGAGGTCCTCTCTGCTTGAGGAGTAGAGATGTTCAGGAAGTGGAGAGCGCCAAATATGCAACTCAAATTATTTAGGATGCAATTAGGTTTGGTTTAATAATTAAAAATACTTTTAGAATTTTCTTTGGCAGAGATCAGGCTATTAATTAGCCTGTCATGGGAACCCAGCATTTATTATTCTCTCAAAAACCCATTTGTGGTGGAAAATGTGCCGAGCCTCATTTGTGAAGATAATTATAGATGATATCTTTGGGAGTGTCTGCCAAGTTCCTAGTGATTTCCCTTTTCTCTGGGAGCTGACTCCAGAACCTACAGGGTGACTCCTCGGCCCACGTTTCTACAGTGCAAGAATGTCTTCTGCTCCCCACTCATTGGATTAGAGCTAGAATCATTAGCAAAGCTGAGCCAATAAGATCTTTCCTCCACAGGAATCTGGAATCCCAGCCATGGTCAGGCCACTCTGTCCATTTGATTGGATATATAAGATTCAAGTTTAGGGTGGCCCGAGGAACAGAGAAAGCTGATCTTTGGGGAAAATTAAGGCAGGTGTACAGAGCTCAAGCGAGCTACCTAGAGTTCTGCTTTCCAGAGCTTTGCTAAATCTAGTGTATCCTGGCTCTTGGGGTCAACAAAAAGTCCCTGTATCCTTAGAACGAAGCACACTGATATCTGTACACTCAGTGTGCTTCCCCTCTAGCAGGATGAGCCTCCTTTCATTCACTCACTCCTAGACTTTGATGTGGCACATGTCAGTGGCTGAAGATGTAAGATTGCTTAAAGCCTGGTCATTGCAATCAGATAATGTGTCTTGATTCTTTATTCTTATGGTGCTTTGCTGCTGTGTGGAGAATGGTGCCAGACTCTGAAATCTCCAAGTCCTCTTTTTGAACTCAGGGGAATCAAAACCTAACTTTAACTTATTTAGAGTTGGTAAGTATTAAAATTATTCTGTGGACTAGAGGGTGCAACACAGACATATTTCTCTGGTTGTAGTGATTTCTTCTGTTTGAGCCAATGAGTATCAGGGCTTCACAGGGACATATAATAATACTCCTTTGAAGGAACACATTTAGTTTAAGAATAAAGCCAGCTTTAGGGTGGCTCAGCTAAGCTAGAGATGTGCTCACCGTTTTATATTAGACATAGATTTATTACATTTACCCTTTATTTTTCTTGAACTAAATATTTTTGCACTTTCGAATATTTTACAAGAAGTGCTCTTTTGGAACTAAAAATGATAACCACTTTGAGTAGTAATCTTGAGCTTCCAAAGAAGACAAGTAAATAAGACCAGGCTGAAACAGAAACAGTCTTCAACAAAGAGCTCCATTAGCCCCGGAACTGGCCTGAGCATCTAGGTGAACTGTGGAGCAGGCAGGGTTTGGCTGGTTACTTCTCTCTGCTCACAGAGAGCCCATGCTTTCTGTTGTCTGATGTTCATTTCCAAGAACTCACTCTGATCTCTTTCCTTTTCTAGGATGAGATATCTTATTAGAATTTATGCTATGCATAAAAAATTCTTCCTCTGATGTCCCTAATCCCCCCTGTTTCTTCTCTTTTAGACAGGGTCTCAGGATGTAGCCCTGGCTGGCCCTGAACTCACAGAGATCTGCTTGCATCTGCCTCCTGGGTGTTAGGATTAAAGGTGTGCACCACCATATCTGGCCCCAGTCTCCCTGACTTCAACAACTGCTTGTAGCATCTAGGATGTTTAAAGGATGGAGTCGGGGGAGTTAGAGGTATCTTACACTGATGGTTAGACGTATCAGAGACCTGGCTAAGAGTTCCAGTGGGTCTTTTGGCAGGTTCCTTCACTCTGAACCATATGTAGAAAACAAAGATGACATTTTCTTATGTTGGGCTAAAGGACTAGATGAATGACAAAGATCAAGTGGCCTAGTATGGTGTTTGACTTGAATAGAAGTGGTAGTTGTTGTGATTTTCAAATACTCTCTCAACTGAATGCCAGATTTGGGTCCTTTAAATATCTAGCTAAATCTTTGTTAGCATATTTTTTTGGGTAGTGAGCCACAAAAGTGACGTCAGTTGCTAAAGGAAATTCTAATACTATGGTCTTTGCAACTGTCAACATTCTTTGTAACAGTGTTTCCATTAGCGAGGTATTTAAGGTTCTTTTATGATTATAGATAAAAAGATATTAGCATTAACGCAAAAAAGTTCCTTAAGAAGACTTTAAAATTCATCTTACTTGAATTCTTCGGGGTGGATGCCTTTTGATAATGCTTGATTCTTCATTTTTCAGTGGGATGTCAAGATACATGGGCCTGGATACTTGAAGGATGGGGGGAGGCAATAATAAATCATTAGAATAAATTTATTGTCAAATTCAGTATCCAGGCTGATCACTGTTTAGTAGTCATCATCTACATAATTTTGTATCTTCACTTACTCATGCCTAACACACTAGTCAAATGCAAAGATGAGACATACGTAGCAAGCTTCCTTGTTGGACTATCCTTGGATTGCCAGCCAGAAAATAATGACCCATCAACTTACTATTAACTATGAAAGCTTGGCCTTTAGCTTAGGCTTGTCTCAACTAGCTCTTATAACTTAACCCATATTTTAAAATCTATGTTCTGCCACGTGGCATTACCTCTCTTTCTTCTTGTACCTCCTGTCTCTTCTCCATGTCTGGCTGGCGACTCTGCCTTCTTCCCAGAGTTCTCTCTCTGCCCGGAAGTCCCGCCTACATCTCCTGCCTAGCTATTTGGCCATTCAGCTTTTTTATTACACCAGTCACAGCAATACATTTTCACACAGTGTACAGAGATCCTACAACAGACATGTAAAGCAGGGTCCTTACATGAATGTAAGTGAACATTTTAGTCTGCTTTCTTCTTTTCTCATCCCACTCCTCAGGTTGATTTTTTTTTTTAAAAAACAGTTGCAAAATTAGCTATGTAGTGACCACAGGTACTACTCAAACACATAATTTAGCTTAGAAAACAGAAACCTAGCCGGGCGTTGGTGGCGCACGCCTTTAATCCCAGCACTCGGGAGGCAGAGCCAGGAGGATCTCTGTGAGTTCGAGGCCAGCCTGGGCTACCAAGTGAGCTCTAGGAAAGGCGCAAAGCTACACAGAGA